AGAATTGATACATGTTTAGGGAAAGTTCTTTAAAAGGTTGATCCTTTGATCCTTCCTCCTATTGTCTTTCACTTTCTCCTTTAATACTTTTTCTTCTGATCTTACAGTACTTTTTTTTTTCTTTTTCTTTTTTTAACATTGCTTTGACAACACTTACTCTGTTCAACTTATTCCAAACGTATCCTTGTTTCTACATCAAAGAGCTACACTATGACATATCTAAATCAAGGAGCTGTGTTCCCCCATCCCAGCGCTATCACTTATGGAAGTCTCAAAACAATTACCGTTCCAAACACTGTAGATCTATGGATAGTAAAGAATTCATCTAGAATGAATACAGAGATCATCGAAACACTAATAATTTACTGGAATTCATTAATTTAAGATGCTAAACCAATGGTAATAACAGCATCCAGGATGCTTTTATAGTCCTCAAAACGAGCCATATTCAACAATAGTATGAGTTGTTTAGTAAAACGTTGTGAAAGACGAGACAAAGCCTTATTCTGATGCAACAACATGTAAACTTTAACACACTATAACAAGCTGTAAATGTGTCACTGAAAGAATGGTGAAAAGCGTACTTCCATCTTGCGACATGAAATTAGACAAACTAGAATATTAATTTCAAAAATCATTTGCCCCCACACATAAAATATTTTTAAGTAATCAACATTTGAGTGTTTTTTAAAAAACATTTTAAAAACCCACATCAGAATAGAGATCAGAGGTGTTTGTTTTTAAGTGTGTCATTTCCACAAAAACACTAGATGCCTTTGTTTAGGGATCCTGTCTTTTAAACTATAATCAATAAGTTGCATCAAAAGAAGTCCATGTCATATATTGTGTGTACACACGCACAGTTACAGAATATACAAGCACAAAACATTAATACAACAGTATCATCCAACAACTCCCAAAACAAACAACACACATTAGCATGCTGGCACACTTGGTGGCAAACCCTTTTCTTGCTGGATGGAGTCTTTATCATAGAAGAGAGGCAGAATATTCATTGGTTCCAAATCCTATAATCATCCAACAACACTACATTACCAACAAAGAGTTCATAATTTTTGCTTCAAATCACTTAACTAAAGCAATCATAGAAAATCTTACCATTTTTACTATTTGGCCAAGAAGAGTTTTCTTTGAGTATTACACTCTTCAGGCTTGAGCACCATAATTACAAATATCTCCATCAAGAATGCTTCTAGAAATTGAATTACCATAGTTGCGTGGATCTGCTGCCCTAAAACCTACAAAGGGGAACTTACAAAATATACATATCATGGGAACAGAGGAGTTACAGACAGTATTACTTTACTTAGACTAAAAAGAATCAGCGCATTATGTTCCAAGTCCTAGATATGGGGACAAACTTTGAGTGGGGTTCTTAGATACGTCAGATGTCAAAGACAGTATGTCTCAAGATTCACCCAGATGATGAAAGTTTCGACTTCAGATCAGAGCTTTTGGTATCAACAAAAATAATTCTTTCTTCTTTGAATACACTAATTATAACAATAACAATTAAGAAGAGCATGCTAAATTGGTCAGTGAGGGCAGGGAGCATACAGAGTCTCCCTCTATCTTGCAGCGACCAAGATTATCCCTACATAGAATGTTGCTGTATTTGTTACAGATGCTAATGTTTTTTCTGCAGCTCACACAACAGGCACAGCATCCACCTTTTCTTTACGGAGGCAGTAACTCTGAGACTTCCCTGCCATGTCTCTGTGTTAAGATAAGTGCAGAGGGCAAAATACGTATAGATTGTCACCAGTCAGCTCTGGCTGTATTATAAATCTTTACAGAGAACTGTATTTC